GGGGGGGGGGGGGGGGTCCTGTGCGCTCCGGGGTGTGGTGGAGTAGGGTAGAGATCACCAAGGGGACAGGAGGGTCCTATTGAAAAATAGAGCTGCTCCCCACGCACCCCCCAACCCCACCCTCCCCCGGCCCACCAAGCCAGGACCCCCACAAGGGCACAGACCCTCCGCCTGGGCTCAGACAGGGACCCTCAGGCCCTCCTGGCCAGTCCCTCCCCTCCCCTTCCCATCTCCCCGATCATCAGCCCTGGGTTCAGTGCTCCAACTGGGGCGGGGGGGGGGGGTGGGGTAAGTGAAGGGTGGGGACAGTGGTAAACAGAACGTGGCAGCGACCAGTCCATACAGCTCCCACCTTACCCCCCTACCAACACCCCCAAAGGAGCGCCCACTCTCCAATGGTGGGTTTTAACAGCAAGGGGGCTGGAAGGGGGCAATGGGGAGGAGGAGAAGGGGGGCTCTGTACTGTACAACAGATTCGAAGGGGAAGGGGGGTAGAATCCAGGAAGACAGGGAGGGGGGTGGAGGTAGAGATTGATGGTGAAGTTGGGCGGGGGGAGGTGTGATGGAGGGAGAGTGGTTCGCTACAAACTGATTCACTGCTCCCCACCCACTCTCCCCCAACCAAAGCAGAGAAAAAAAACCCCACCTTCCCTACATCCCCTTCCCTCCTCTCTCTCTCTCTCCCACCCGCCCCCACCCACCCAGCGCCAACGCCCTCCCGTTCACGGCTGCTCGAGCATCTGGTCACAGGTCCTGGCAAGGTCCCGGACTTTGACATGCGTGTACTCCACTCGGTTCACTGCCATCTGCGCATCCTTCCTGGCCGAATAGCTCGAGCCCTCGTGCGGCTGCCCCGTGGCGACCTGGCGGAGGGGGGATTGGAGGGGGAGTGGGGTGCAGGGGAGGATGGGAAAGAAAGAGAGAGAAAAAGAGCGAGACAGGGAGGGGGTAGACAAGAAGACAAAAAAAAGGGAGAGGAGAACCTTGCATTGCAATAGCGCCGTTTGCCTCCTGGCTGCTCCTAACCGATGCAGTTTACCCTCGGCGCACGCAGGGAGGGAGCCGGTGGCTGGACGGGGGAAGGCATAGAAAAGTCCCAGAATTGGCCAGACAGTGCAAGTTTCTTTCTTCGCTCGAAAGGTACCAAACTCATCCGAAAAGCTGTCTCCCTTTTGAGGTTCTTCTCATTGAGGCTGCACGGGAGGTCGCTTGAGCGTGCCGGTCACCGCGCGCTTCTGGGAGGGGGTGTATGCGAGGCAGAGGTGGCGGGGGGGGGGGGGGGGGGGGGGCGGGGGGAGGGGGGGGAGGGGGGGGGGGGGGGGGGGGGGGGGGGGAGTTGTAGGTGGTTGGGAAAGGGTATAACTGATTTCAACACCAATTTCCAAGAGCTATCAGGGATAGGATGGGCTGAGCAGTCACTGTCTGTTCAGGATGGGAATGCATGGCTGGTTATTGCCCCAGTTGGTACAACAGTAAGGAGCCCAGAGATTTTCGAGGGATATAGCAGGATGAGGGGGGTTACAAGGAGTGTAGGGGGCTGGAGGAGGTTACAGAGATAGGGAGCGGGGGTGTAGGGGCTGGAGGGGGTGATAGGGAGGTGATGGAAGGTAGTACTGGATTGGGATAGAGGAGCGGGGGAGAGCGGTGTAGCGGAGGAGTTTGTTGGGAGTGCTGTGTGTCGGGGGAGGGATTGGGAGGGCGGTAGTGTTTGAGGCTGGAAGAGGGAGTTGGTGTGGGGACGGGAGCGTTGGCGTGGGGATGGGAGCGTTTGGGAGGGTCTGCTGGGGGAGCGGTAGCCAGGGGCTGACGGACAGGTTGGAAGAGTGTGGGGGGGAAGTCCGTTCCTGGCTGTGGGGAGCCCGAGGAGGCCGGCGCTGCGTGCAAGGAGAGACGGTCGAAGTTTAGCCTGACAGGGAACCCGTCCGGTCTTACCTGGGTGAGGTAGCGGATCTGGCTGGACAGCTCCATTTCGACTCGCTGCACAGAGGCTGTGAATTGCAGGGCGTGGCGATCCAGGTTACGCTCTGCTGGCTTCTCTTTCGACATTTCCAGGATAACATTGGCTGCCGGCCCCAGAACGAGAGAGAGAGAGAGAGAGAGAGAGAAGACGGGGTCAGAGTGAGGATACTCAGCCTGGGGAAGATCAACCCTCTGAAGATGGTACATTCAAACATGAAGCTAATGTGATTAGGAAGGTGCTTCTTCTGAGGGGAAATTGAACACTAAAGGTCTTGCGTCTTAATGTGGACACATCAAACTTTTAACCCCAAATGTCCATTTGCAAGAGGACTGCTCCAGCTAAAAACAGATGGCTGACTCTCGAGTTCAGCGGAGAGAAAACGCCCTGGAATTTTACACCTTATGGAAACCGCAACTGCACTTAAAAAGGAGGAACACGCTACAAACTAAAATGCAATTTCCTGGGACTAATCTCAAACTGAGATCACGACAGGAGACAAGGCAGTAGTCTGGGTGAGAGATACGTTTTGTCTCCGTTCGCTTTCCAAAGTGAACAAGAACAGGGTTAGAAACCATTCAGCCCCAGGGCGCGTGTGGGAGGAGGTGAACGGAGCTGATTGAGCTAAGTTTGTCACCCTGGCGTTGCAGGTAAGGGAGTCTCTCCCACTTTGCGTGCTGAAGCCAGGTAGACAGCCAGAAGGAAACAGGACAAGACTATTTCAGGTGGATAAGGTAGGGGAGTAGGTTCGTTCCTCCTCACATGGGAGCTTAACAACGTGGGATGTCCCATTTGGAACAGGAATAATTTGGGGAACTTCACAGAAACTGATCCTTCAGTCAAAACAGTCCACGCCGACCATAATCCCAAACTAAACTACTCCCACCTGCCTGCGCTTGGACCATGAACTCCAAACGTTTATTTATTCACGTACTTTTCCAAATGTCTTTTAAACGTTGTAACTGTATCCACATCCACCACTTCCTCGGGAAGTTCATTCCACACATGAACCACTCCCTGTGTAAAGAAGTTGCCCCTCAGGTCATTTTTAAATCTTTCTCCTTCCACCTTAAGAATAAGCCCCTTGGTTTTGAATTCCCCCTGACCCTGGGGAAAAGACCTTTGTTATTCACCCTATCCATGCCCCTCATGATTTTATAAACCTCTATAAGGTCACCCCCCCAAGCTGTACTGATTGGAGCTTGTTGACTACGAAATCCTTGTTTGGGGTTGTTAACCTCAGCCAATCAGGAATTCCTGGCTGACCAACATGACCAGGGATTGTCCACACCATCATTGGGCGCCTTAAGCCGATGGTGCCCAGACACAGCGTTGTGACCCACTTGGAGGGTGCTTGGGTGTGCGGTGGGATCCCATTTAAGGGCACCCCTGCCCCGGATGGAATTTCAAATCGGCCCCAAGATCCCGTGTCCCCCCCCGGGGGCCTGCGTCCCCACAAGCCGAGCGCCCTCCGGAATTTTAATTTTGCGTCTTTCAAAGACGCGTAAATGGTGGGGCCCTGTACAGAATGCTGCTGCACGCTGTCCACCTCTTCTCCTCCGTCCACCGTGTCACCGGGCGGCAGGGGGGGATGCCCAGTGGAGGGCTCTCTACGCAGGGGTCTTCCCCGCTTTCACGCGGGGGCCTTGGGGGAGGGATGGGGGTGTTGCACGCAGCAGTCCTATGTAACCTCAAATTGCAGCAATTCACAGACTCCCAGCCCAATTGTCTGTTTTGTGGCGCCGTGTCGTCGGTGGGCCGTGTCTGTATTGGGTGTGGGCACTTGCGCTCCCTTTGTCATGATCTTAAAGACCTTCCTTTTGTGTTTTTTTTAAACTTACACTTCAGCCCCCACGCTCCTGATCTTTGGGAGAGGGGAACGGGCAGGATCTCCCTGTGGGTCTGCTCCCAGCCGCTCATAGGTCCAGGCAGTGGAGGGGTCATTAATGCCAACAGCCTGCCCCTTTTCCATGGCTACGTCTGCGCCCAGGTTTCCCTGGAAAAGGAACACGCAACATCCTCCAATACTCTCAAATCCTTTCGCGAGAGGTGGGCATTGCAGGGTGTTGGGTGTCCTCCAATTCCACTTTGATTTTGATCCCTACCTTCCCCTTCACTTTTTTGTTCACGTAGACATTGACCCCACCCAGGGAGCTCTGTTTGCTACTGGTTTCTTGGACACATGGGTGTCTTTCCTGCTGGTGGTATGTTAATAAAGTTATTTGAGCTGGTGTTCTTACTGTGTCTCACGCCTGCACACACACACAACAAGGGTTTTAAGCAGAGAGAAAATTGAAAAGAAAAGAAGAAAGTGAAGAAGGAGAAAAAGAAAAAAGGAGAAAAGAGGAAAAGGAAAAAAGAAAAAAAAAGGAAGAAAATAAAGAAAAATAAGAAAAAAGGGAAACAACGAAAAATATAACCAGGGATTTAGAATCTCCTCAGTCCAGGCTGGTCACAGCCAGCGCATTGTGCATTAGTAAATAAATTTTGACTTGATGATGGGATACTAGCCTCACTCCTCAGCCTCCTGCGCTCCGGTGAAAACAATCCCAGCCTATTCAGCCTTTCTTTATCACTCAAACCTTCCGTACCCAGCAACATCCTGGTAAATCTCTCCTGAACGCCCTCCAGCTTAAAAACATCCTTCCTATAGCAGGGCGACCAGAACTGGACACGGTGCTCCAGAAGAGGCCTCACTAACATCCTGTACAACCTCAGCATGATGTCCCAACTCCTATAGCTCAAAGGACTGAGCAATGAAGGCAAGTGTGTTTCCCCGGGCATGAATGAGTTTGTCTGATGAGGAAAGTTTGAGCAGGGACTCAATGGGGTTCTGAAGCAACTTTCGAGAAACAAATTGGTCTCTCGAGGGGCCTTGGCAGGGCAGAAGGTGAGGGATCATTTCCCATCATGGGGGAGGGGCACTGTTTTAAAATCCGGAATCTCCAATTTGAGACGGAGATGAGGAGGAATTTCTTCTGCCTGGGTTTAAGAGTTCTCCTCCCCCATGGCTCACTGAATATGTGGCGTTAGACAGATCTCCAATCAATGAAAAGAGTTGAGGGTGCTGGGGAACAGACAGAAAAGCAACCAGCCGTGATCTTATTGGGTCGTAGAGCAGACCGAATGGTCCCTTCCTGCTCCTATCCCATACATTCAGGCCAGGAAGCCTCGAACGCTCTCTCACCCAGGTTTGTAACCTGGGGAGAATGCAACGGCATTTGTCCTCAGTGCCCCAGGGCTATTGGACTTAGGACAGACATTCAGAAGGGATTTGGGATGGGGTGCTCTGCCTGAGGGGACATTACACAGCAAGAGTTCACACAGCTCCCCAGGAATGGCCAGGCCTCTCCCTCCTGTCTCTCCTACTCACTCCCTCATTGCGTTGCTGCTCTGTGCCTCCTCCTCTCTTCCCTCCACTCCTCACATATCCCCGTCTAACCCACTGCTTTCCTCCTTCAGCCACCCCTCTCTCACATCCTCCTCCTCCTTGTTCTCTTTCCACTCCCTCCATCTCCTTCTCCTCCCCCTGCCTTATCCTCACCCCTCACTTCACACCATTCCACCCCTCCTCTACTCTCCTTTTCTTTCCTTTCACCCCCCTCTCTCTCTCTCACACACACACACACACACACACTTTCCTCCTCTCGATCTCCTCCTCCTCTTACCTAAATTGGTCTTTCTGCTCCCTTTTCCTGCCTCCTATAACCACTCTCTGTCACACACCCCCGTCTCTCATTCCCTCCTCTGTCTCCTGTCCCTCCATCTCACCCCGTCTCCCGACTTTCCATTCCTCTCCCCTTCTATCCATCTTACCCGTCTCGCTCTCTCTACTTTCCCTCTCTCCCCTTCTCTCCATCTTCTCCTTTCTCTCTCCTCCTCTCTACTTCCCCTTTCTCTCACCCCACCTTCCCCTTTCCTCACCATCTCTCTAGCTCTCTCAGTGCATCTACCTTTCTTTCTCTTTCTCTCTATCTCTCTCTTATATATAATTCCCTCTCTCTTTCCTCACCCCTTTTCTCTATCCCTCTCTCCCTCCAGTCCATTTACCACCCTCCCATCTTTCTCTCCAGTTAACCCCCCCAATCCCTCATACCACCCTCCACCCCCTTCTTTCTCTTTCTCTTTCTCTCTCTCTCTCTTTTCCCACCTTCTCCCTCTCTCCTACCTGCAGTCTGCAAGATGATGGCGATCTCCTTCTCGATCTCCTCCAGGTTCCGGAGTTTCTCGTTAGCCGGTCCGTAGGTCCCCATGGCGTGCGGTGAAGTGGAGGGATCAGGGATGGGATCTGGCTCAGTACCGGACTCAGGATCAACCCAGACAGAGCAGCAATGGGCGGCAGCGAGGAAATAGCAGGCACAGGAAGCTCCAACAACAGCGCCTCACCCAGAGAGCCCGAGAAACTCACCCAGAGCCGAATGTAACTGACAGGGAGTGTAACCAATGGGAACACTGTAACTGACAGGGAGTGTAACCAATGGGAACACTGTAACTGACAGGGAGTGTAACCAATGGGAACACTGTAACTGACAGGGCGTGTAACCAATGGGAACACTGTAACTGACACGGAGTGTAACCAATGGGAGCATTGTAACTGACGGAGTAACCGGGGGAACATTGTAACTGACAGGGAGTGTAACCAATGGGAACACTGTAACTGACACGGAGTGTAACCAATGGGAGCATTGTAACTGTCAGGGAGTGTAACCAATGGGAATACTGTAACTGGAAGAGTGTGTATCCGACTGAACCATTGTAACTGACAGAGAGTAACCAATGGGAACATTGTAACTGACAGAGAG